GATCCTTGATCCAGGTGTCTCCTTTTTTGCTGGTCTTGCTCTATTCTTGTTTTCCTCGAGTTTGCTTAGGCAGTAGGCAAAATTATCGCTAACTCTACCTTCCTCCAATCTCATGTTCATTAGATTTTTCTCCCAAATGATGGCAATGGCCTCCCTTATCTTCCGCTTTATTGTGTTGTCACCGTACGGGGCTCTTTTTTCTGTTGCCTTCCAATTGATCTCGTATCCACTCTGTGCGATGTGTTCCGCTAGTTCTGATCTTTCGGTTACTATTTTCCTGCAGAGCCTTTGATGTTCCTTGTTTCATGTGCTAATTTTTTTCCCTGTTTCGTCAATATATTTCTGTTTGCAGGCGTCGCATGATATACAATAAACTGCTGAACAAATATAATTTTTATACCCTTTCATGTTGTGTCGGTTGACTTGTGAAGTGTTGATTTCTCTTTCATGGCCACCTGAATATTTCATTTCCTTAAAATTGGTCGTAATTTTGAGTTAGTTCGCAGGAAGGTAGGTATATCCACTTTGGTGAGTCCTTCATCGTCCTTACTTTCATAGCCGCCGTTCTGCCATCGGCTTTTCACGGCCCGTATGTTTCTTTTTATCACTTAGATTTGGTAGCCATTGCCGGGGAATATTCTCGTCAATTTGCACAGCTCCTCGTCCCAGAATTATATATCCATCAGGCGTAGGCTTCGGATGATCATGCTACTCATTATATCTATCTTTAGCCTATAATTGTGATGGGACCGGAAATTTAGTATTATCCTAGCATAGGACTTCTTTCTGAACAATTTCTTTTTGAGCGTCCCATTAGAGCGAATCACTTAAATGTACAGGAAAGTTAACCGCTCACCTTCCTCTACTTCCAATGTGAATTGAATTTTTTTCATCAATGTGGTTTAGAAACTCTTCGAGTTTTCTCTTCCATGTGACCAAAGTTCGAATCAGAGCTAAGGCGCTCTGCTTAGTGAAGTGGCAGTGTACGTGCTTTTAGGGCGTTGAGAAATAGCGCCTGGAGTGAAATGCACACTGGGAGTGGAATCGGTCAACCAGAAAGATAAGGAACGGATCTACGAGACAATGAATGAATTCGGATTTGAGGTCTGAGTCGAATCAGCTGATCGAAAGAGAGGGTGTCTTGGTGAATAGCAAGTGTGATGAGGCCACACTGGATTTGCCACAAAAGGGCACACATTTTGACAAGTGGAATGTAAACAATTAAGAAGTTGTGATAAGGCGGCAGTGGGATAATAGGGTAAAGAGTAGAGAGCTATGCTAAGACAGAAAGGAGTGATAGTGTAACCGTTTTCGACAGAGCGTTTATCGAGGGATTGACTTCACTTGTCTCTTTGACGAGTTCGTAGCTCGGTGTGTAGAATGACAAAATTCACTGATACCGACTACGATGCCGGCGAAACGTCTTATAATGTACTAAGTCCACTGTCTGATGCTGGGAATCATGACAACTACTATGGCAGACGACTTCAACTAGGTACGTTCTACTAAGTCCCCCTGACAACAAGGCCAAATTGCGACGAGGTCAACCCACTTCTATATATCGAAAGGAGACTGCGACCATACCATTGGTCTCAAAATCTTGGTCTTCATATCTTCAAAGCTAATTTAAATTTAACGGCATTGTGATGCTTATTTATTTCACCGTGAGAAATCAAAATATCAGTCTTCCCATCATTTTAAGTGACCTAGGGTAACTCTAGGTAGTGTTCAAGATGTAATGATACTTTAGAAAAATATTAATTTCAACATATTATCTGGTAGCAGTTTATCTGCCAAAGACAGGTTATGTATCTTCATGATTACTAGTAGAACTGGATTAAGTGAGTGGACCAAACTGGAAATGATTCCAAGGCATTAAAAGTCTAGGTTATATGATGCCAAGTACAGCAAGATGCAAGGATGTGAAGGGCTTAAGAAAGTATGATCTACCACTACGCTTTTAATGATTTAGCCAATTCAGTGAGTCGTTCTAAACCCTAAACCAATTTCAAACTTACGTCTCTGATTTGAAGCAAGCCGCGTATTTAACTGGTGATCATAAACGAATAAGGCATAATAGAGGAAAAGAATCTGTGGTGTAAGGTCTCGGCTACAGAATTCACTAAGGGAGGAAGATGGATCGGAGTCAGATGTACTCGGCCAGGTGGATAAGTGTTGGCCTGGTATCCGAAACCTGAGACCATCAATGCCTGGAGCACAGCTGCTAGCCGCCTCTCCCGCGAGGTCAGCACTGAATTGGCGTGTCAACTCACTCTCTGAGATGACAGAGAAAGCTGTTGTTGGTTTCCTAAACAGATGGTTGTAATGCTGATTGCTGAGGTCAGGCAAGTTGGCTGGCGCACTGGTTTGACTGGTGGAGAGCACGTTTAGTGCATGCGCCTCAAGAAGGTCAGGTAGTAAAGGGTGCATGGGCCGGACACTCTCGCACACCTGTTTATAGATCCAATCCTAGGGCAGAGTAGATATTTGAAATACTATATAATTTGGCAATATAAAACTTAAACCAGTAATTCGTTTATCATATACACACTATGTAGATAGCATACTAGTATTTACAACATTATAACGTTAAAAAAGAGGAATTTTACTCAATAAGCAGGTGGTAGTATCAGGCAATTCAAACTACTCACCTTTATTTGAACATTATTTTTGACGAAGGCTTGGGACTTAAGAAGTTGGACGACGCAGTGGATGGGCAGATGTCCAGTTGCCTGTCGACTTAGCTTTGGAGTGATGGGAGCTGTAGCTGCTTGACTAGCGATCACCTGAAACAAAAAGTAATTCGATGCTTATATATCAAATGGGAATTGGAGGGAGCGAAGAGATGGCTAGGCCTAATAGATACAGAGACATTATTTATCCGCAATATTTTGACAAGGGGATTAATTTTACTAGTTTTTCTTTTATATACGAAAAGGGGATTATTTTGAATGAGATTCAAATCCGTCAATAAAGTTAAGCCAAAATAGATAGCGATCTTTAGTAAGGTTACTACGCGTATATTAACTTGGAAAATATGTAAAAATATTAAATAAAAGTAAGTCCTGCCTTTTAAAGGGATGTGCTGGGTCTTGCTGGTCTTAAGCTCAAATATAAGAATGAGAGTAGGGTTTTCTAAGTCGCTTCTATATTTAAACAGAAAGGTTCCCTTATATTTGCAAGCAAGGTCATTAAATGGCCTTGT